ACGAACGAAGGAAACAGACAGCTGTAGCGTAAAGAAGAGAGTAAAGAAAGGCGAGTAGGTGAGAGCAAAAAGGTAGAAGGTGTAAAAAAGAACGAAAACTCTCTGTAAGAGTACAAAGAACGAGAGAAAAAGCGCGCTAAAAGGGAGTTTGTTCACGACAGAAGTGTATTAAACGGACCCAGCTGTTGCAAGCTGGTGTTATTTCGCGGATAAGCTGGCGCCATTTACCAGACGATCGAAAGTTAAAAAGTTTACCCGCACAATTACGCTATTGAACGTGCATTAATTCGCGAGAATGAAGATGGAAATGTGCATCATGGCTCCCCTATGGCGACAGCGTGCAATGACATTCCATGCAGCTTGTTCATAAATTGTAATCCTGCGCACGGTTCGCATTCAGCCGAGAAATTGTTGAAAATTTATTACCATCAATTCATGCAATTCTAATTAAAAAAAAAATTTTATCATCGAGGTGTTAAATATCTCCGTACAATACTAGAAAAACCTATCTAAGGAAAACGATTCTGGCCGAGTCTGGTTTCTCCTTAAACCCTTCAAACAAACGAGACCTGTTTTCCTCTCTCGCGTGAAATTCAATCTCGTTTCATCCCCTGATAAATAGCCCGAAGAAAAAGATAAAGCTTGCTCGTTTATGCGAGAGAAGCGAAAGGCGTGGAGAAGGTTTCCAAGCAGAACAAGCAAACACGCGATCCTTCTTGGATCCTTTTCAAGCCGGAGAAATCCTAATCATACCCTACCCTCGTCACGAATCGTTGCGTCGTTGGTCAAAAGGAAAAAGCCTTTCGAACGGGTTGAAGGATCAATCTATGCCGGCGTATGTTCCACCGGCAACGCAACGTATAACACGCTGTTGTTCCAGGAAGGAAGGGGAGACGAGGTGGCTCACGCACCACGTAACACGCAACCAGAATGCGTGTACACCGAGCGGACATTTTGTTTTAGAGAATATAACGCGACATGATGCATTACAACCGGCCGGATATACCGGCTGACGGTTTTCTGTCCTGAATGAATAATCGCCTCGGTTAACGCGACACGTCTGCCTATCCCTGCTGCTCTTCCCCTTGCACGTATCATTTTCTCCATATTTTTTCTTATTCGAACTGACTCGATCTTGGTGATATATTTCTTCTGTTACACAATCACTGTTAACAAATTATTCTTGATGATACGATAGAAAACTCTTGTGTCAATAATTGGATGCTTGCAAGAAAGCAAAATAGAAATTTTATTTGTAGCTGTGATAAAACGGCATAAATTTATCGGGTATAATGTTCCATTGGGACGTTCAGGTGAATTGAGACGAGGAGCAGAGGGATGTTCGCTTCCAAAGGGTGGCGCCGTTACCGCCGTCTGTAGACTGTCATTTCCGTCGGTAGCATGGCAGATATAGCGGTCGTGTAGGGCTGTTATCGACTTTCCAGCAGATACCAGTCGCGATTGATCGTAATACATCTTTCATACTGCAATTTTCCACGAATCTCTGTTCTGAATTTACGATACGATGCAAAAATAAAAGATACGAGACACATATTTAATGGCATAGAATAAGGTAGCATTATGGGTACTAAAACACAAGTCAGATTTTATACGACTATATCAAACGATTCTTCATATCATTCACGTCTCTTGAACTATTTTATAATTACATCTGTTCCCAGGAATGCACTTTAATGATATGCATCGGAACATAGTAATTAATCGATGCAAGGAAACATCGGCGAAGATCCGCAGACTCGTTACGAATAAACTTCAGAACGCCCCCGGGGGAACTAAGTCCACGTGAATTCTCGAGCAATTTCAAGTTCGTCTAGCTGTTCTCCAAGTTTCGAACGGCATTTTAACGAGACGTCGTTCTATTAGACGTCTTCGTCTGCCGGCTATCATTGCCTGAGAGCTCCTCATTGAACGGTTTCATGTTTGTTAAGTGTTTCGCTAATTCCTTGGCCTTCGGATACGGATATCGTTGCCCGACAAAGTTTCCGGAAACATTTCCACCATCTACGATCTCTACTATTTCATGATAGATTCTCGGGAAAAAGTAATTGAGACACTGATACAATTCATCGTGCAAAATTCGTGCAAAAGTGTCAGTTGCAATACCAGCTAGCGAATAAACCGATCGACGTTACGTTATTGTCCGGCATGGCGCCAAGAAGTTTCTTGATAAAATTCAAACTTCCACGATATAACGCATACCATTCCGGTTTTCGAGGGTTATTGGCTGCAGAAGATACGATACCGGTGCCAAATGGGATTCGCGATAAAAATTCGTTTCACTAGCTGGGGATAGACATCGCAACAGACGATGCTTACAAGCCAGAAGATGGAGAAACTCGGAATACCCTCTTATCGGTGAAATTTCATCTACACTCCGTTACACGAGAAACGCGTCGTTCATCTCTGCGCGAAGCCACCAGCAAATTAGAAAATACTTATTCAACGATATTGATTCGTGACTACGAAACAGATATCGAAAATCTTTCGCATCGTTAAAAGTTTAAGGGATGCATTTCGTATTCTCGGCTTCATTGCACAATATTCCCCCCGGAAACAGCGTCGAAGAGTTACCCCGGCGTCTGATACATATTCCAAAAGGAATTGAACAAGAACACGCTCCAGCGTTCGGCTACAAAAACTCGAGGCTTTCGTGTGTCGAAGCTAGCCGAGCAGACGTTGTTAGAACACGTTAAACCGGAGCCACGGCATCTCTCCCCTCGGCGAGTCACGTCCAACGCATCTCGGCAATGGGACAGGGTCGATTCTGCAGGAGCGAGAGGGTTGCTCGTGGCATTCTGCCATCAGAGACGAGATGTTAGCGCATTGTGCGTGAAAACGACAAAAGCACCGATGCGCTTCTCACCGGGCCTCTGCTTCCTGCCACATAGACGCTCTTCCTGGATGGTCTTTACGCCTCGTGGAGCTACGAGGTTGCGCTTACACGATCGTTATGGTAATTTCCACGTCGCTTCAGAACGATTCGATGATCATCGATGTGCGTTCGATGTTCCATTTCTATGCACTTTGATTCTTAACTAATTAATGACCATTGTTGTCTCGACTGATCCCGGATATGAGAAATGTAATGATTGTATTTACGATAAGCTGAGTCGAGTATCGTCACTCGATGAAAATTTAATTAAAACGTTCGATAGCGGGAGAATTAAATTTCACCCGTTCACACGAGCCCCAAGCCGTTCACAGCGACGCTTCAATGTATTTTACACCGCACTTAATACTCCATTTAACACTTGCCTCGTATAATTGAACATGACTAATGAACTGCAGATAATTAAGCAATTATTCGATTCCCTCGAATCGTTACACTTAACCGCGTCGTTAATGGATTACAAATAGCAACGAGTAAATTTTTTCTGTTAGCAGTGATAAGAATGAAGAAATTAATCTTTTTAATCTTTTGTCGTAAGTTTTCACGTTATCGAATTATAAATTCCTAGTTACATCTCGTGGAGTGTAAAATAAGGAAATTTTAAGCAGTTCTTTATTGGATCTGGTGGTGGGAGAAATTAGAGGTGGTGAGTCGTTAACTAACTACCTGTTGGAATTTTTGATACAATTTCAACTTTACTATTCACTAGTGAATTTACTTTTTTAACAAAACTTACAATGTCTTATAATTTAACGTCACAGTTCCACCTCTCGATATCCACTGTAATATATCCGACTGATGCCGTTTCCGGCGGTGAGATTTGTCATCGAGAAAGGTTCAATATGAAAGAATTATTATCGACCTCTTACCTTGGACCTATCATCCGTAACTGTTCCTATTCTACCATACACGTTCAAGGAACATAAGTTTTCAAAATCGACTATTTTATTTCTTTTTATTACGAATTTAATTGGTCTTCTTTATCTATATTTCCGATACAAGTTCATCGTCCTCAATGGGTTAAATATTAAAAAGGAAGAGGATAAAATGTTCATGATCTACGATTCGCAGCAAGCAGCAGCTGGAAGGGGTTGTAATCTCGGCTAGCTCGATACACCCTGATAATATATCCACGGGGTGACCAGCCCTTAGTCTCGTATACGTTATTGGAAGAATGCCAATATCGATGATTTACCATGAAATCCGCTAGTTATTGCGTGGGAAACGCGGTCTCATTATTTATACGTTATATCGCGCCGATACTTTTCCGGCGAGCTTGTACGGGAAATAAAGTGCTGTCTGCGGCTCGATGAAATAAGCGATTTTCGCAAACCCTGCCGCACACGGGGATGAAGAGGGTGCGACAACCGGGGAAGGGGGTTGAAGTAAAAGGAAGGAGAAATCGATGTCGAACAAGCGCCTCGAATTATTGCCGGATGTTTGGCAAACGCATCGATTTACAGGTCTGGTTTCTCTTTTCCTGCCCATCGATGGAAAGGTAAGTATCGTCCAAATAGACGCAAAAAGAGATTCCAAAAATTTCAAGAGATAAAGTCCGAAATGTAATTTAAAATTTTTGGGGAGAAATAATTGTCTATTATTATAAATTGACAGAATTTCTGTTACCAATTACAATGAAATTGATGAGCGCGATTGAAATTACTAAAGATTGAAATCAAATGTATCACCGCGCTGAAATATTTGCTTTCATTTTGTACTCGATCGCGATTTGTGTTCTATACGTTCGTATTTTTTCAATACCATCGATTCAGGTCTTTTTACAACACGCTAACGCCGTGTTTTAATTAAACCGAAATAAATTGCCCAAACACTTCAATCGCGATGGAGAAATTAAAAAAATAATTGATACGCCAGTGAAATCAGAACTAAATTGAATGATAATTTTCATTTCAATCGCGCTGCATCAAATTTTCAAATTTATTTCATGGAATATGTAACAGAAATTGAAATTCTATCAAAAGCGTAATATTGCACCGAATGGAATCGTATTTAGCGTGACGATAAAAATCTGTCGAAAATTTCATTACGTTGTTTGATAATTGGGTATAGAAACGATGAATTTCCTTACCTGGCCAGCTCTCTTTGGAGATGATGAACCCTGGAGCGTGCTCGTTCAGCTTCAGCCGTAGCCTCGCGTACACGAGCTTCGGCTTCCATTCGTTGTCGCCGTTCACGTTCCACATCTCGTTGCGTGGCCTCTCTCTGTAACAAACCAATCAATTCTTGCGTTAATTAAAGCAATAAAATGCCCCATATAAGAAAGTGTTTCGTTTAAAAAATCGATATTCAAAGAAATTATTTTGATATTCAAAGAAACGAGCGTTAGCTCCTCATCCCCATGAAAATTCAATCTTCATCGAATCGGTTCTCCCCATATCAAAAACGACCCACTGCCCCCCACAGCAATCACTAAGAACTCAAGTTCCTCGTTTCGTCTTTCAAGACCATTCATATTCTCATTGACGTATGCTAGCTCCCCTTTGTCATAATTTCTAATGCTTTCTCCACCCTCGGACTTCCACGATTTCATCCGGACAACGTTGACGGTTTTCAAGCTCAGACGAGCAGGAACGCGCGGATTTATTGCCACGGGTTACGTCCAACGGACGCGAAACGAATCGTAAAGAAAAGAAGCTTAACGAGGAAATAAAACATCGGCCAGGACTCTACTCGTCCTATTTACGATTCGCTCCCGGTTAGGATAAACGTTGATCTGCACCGATGACGGGCCTCCTTTCCTCGCTCCTACCTTCAGGCTACGTTATATCCGCTCCGGATTTGTCGCAGATTTCGATTTTATTTCCACGCTCGGGGATACAGTTTCCACGAACAATGTAAATCGTACGCAAATCGTTTACGTGGATACATAAATGGATTCGCGCACCAATGCTAGCTCGTTACAGAATTTTATAGTCATCGGTACGGTAGAATCAATTTTGGAGAATCGAAACAAATTGAATACATTTTATTCGGCTTTTGCGACAAATTGTACTCTGTGCTATTTGGGTTGTAATTTTGACGGTTGACAGGAGAATCACAATGCGAATTTATTGATATAAAGCAAAATTTTGAATTTTTAGTGGTACTTTCGTGGTTTTAATTTTGAAGGGTTTGTGAACAATATATGTTAGCTATCAAGTTTCAAAATTAACCAAAAGTCAATTAATATTGTCTGAAAATAATTCATCGATTTGAATTCCTCTTGAATTCTATGCTTCGTGATCTCTATCCAGAATGGAAAGAGGTCCAGGACACGCGGTGGATGTCGGACATTTTCTTGATTAAACCAAGATGCAAGCTCGAGCCGATCGAGCGGAACGATTCGCGTCAGGGAAGGGCAGAAAAAAAAGCCGGAAGAGAGAAGCTCGTCGATCTTCGAGGGAATCGGTGGGAGGAATTATTCATGAATTTAAATCGAAGCGTTGCACGGTACATTGATTGCACCCTTTCGATTCCGAACGTGGCTAGAACCGTCCTCCGGTCCTGCTTCGGCTGGAACTACTCTGCTCTGCCCTATCAATAATTGCGTTCGACCAATGTGCCGAAAGCAGTATTTCACGCGATTTAACTCGATCTGCCTCCCATTGCGCCTATCGTTGCCGATAATAAATCCTCCGCCATGGAAACTTGGAAAACGCACGGACCGTTTCCTGTCGATCGTTTCCACCTACGAAAAATGCTCGCTGAAAAAGATCGACAGAGCTAAATTCACAGTAAATGAATTTATTACGATCCTAAAATCGAAAGTTCTAAGAATTTGTAATTAAAAAGAATTGAAAATAAAAAGGAAATAAATTCTGAATTTTCTATAGGAAACAGTCGATTTTATCTACTTTTGTTTCAATTGTTTTTTTGTCTATCAGAGGAAGAAATCAATTCTACGGAATTCGAGAGAATTAAGAGCGGTGATGCTTAAAGTCGTTGAAATCAGGAGGAAAAAGAAGGTTGCGCTCTATTAAAGAGAGTCAGGTGAAAGACGTTTAGTCGAGGGTCCAAACGAAAGATATCGCGGAATACAATCTGGTAAAAGCCGACTGACCACTGCGTACCGGGCTTAAGGGATGGTCCGAGCGGATTTATGGAGCCTTAAATCCCGACGAACGTTCTCCACCCCGTCGTACTATTCTTCTTTTCGGGGGTTGCCTCTCGTCGCCCCGTAATACGATCTTGTCCTTCTTTTCCAGTTGCAAGTCAACGAAACGACCTCGGTACGAGGGCTTTCAGCAAGTTTAGCCTGTCTCGGGGTCACTTCCGACTTTCTAACTTTCCTCGACGAGGATTTAAATCGATATATTATTCATACGGAAACAGTATTCTACCGAGGGATCTTTATTATGTCGTCTAAAGGAAAATAAAGCACCTTATTTATAAATATAAACTAGACGATGATATTTAAAGTGAAAATAATTCCTCATACGAAAGGGATGTTACTTTCTCGATTCGACACCCTTATACTACGAACTTTCTATCATTTAATCATTCGGTCAATTGATTCCAATTACATCCCTCCTCTCTTCGACTCATCAAAGTAATTGGATCTGAGTCATTACACATTACCTCGGAAAGATATGTCAAATACAGTAGCGATGTCCACGTGGAAAGGTTTAACACGTTTTTAAGGGGACAGTATTGGTTGCACAATGAGCAAGAAGGTAGGCACGTCGATCGATAACCGCACGTGAGTTTCATGCCAGACACGTGCGTCGGCTGAAAAATTCACGCTCTTAACAAGATTCAATGGCAATTCTTAGCGGCGCGGCGTATCCAAAGGATTCACCTATTGATTAACAAATGTTCCAACATCTTCTCTTTATCTCCTTCATGTATCGATTACGAACAACATGCGATCACACCTGTAACTGTCTGTGTTCAGAATTTATAGGGTGGAGAATCATTTCTTATTTTTATCAAGATATACTAAACGATTTAGAGTTAAAATCAGGCATGCAATGAAGATTCTCGTATGACAATTAAAAATGAAAATACAAATGCAAAGAAAATCTATGAAATAAATTTGGGAATCCGAAGAAGGGTGAAATTTGATTATCTCCGATTTGCAATAAATTGCAATTAAAATAATCATAAAGATTTGGCCATCTCACGCGGAAGAAGCCCTTACGAGGCCTTCCGTTCACCTCTTCCCATTAGTATTCCTAGTTTTTCGGCGACAGGAGTGCAGCGTCGGTTCAAAGTCCCCGGTGACTCAGTGGGACGCGCGTGCACGAGGAACGCGTGCGTTTTATTCAGGGCACGTGCGTGTCGAAGCTGCGAGAAAACCTCCTCTCTCTTTCTCATTCTCTCCTCTCGAGCCAATCGACGTTGCGGCGAGTTAGAAGGGGCCATCTTTCGACTGAGGGCTAGCTGATCGAGCGGCAAATAATTAATGAAGTCCGCGAACGATCTAGCATCGCTTTACCACTCTCCAGCATCCTGCCCAAGAGTGGTCTTAATAATTCAACGAACGGGCACATTCTCGTCCGCGATCGGATTTTCCAACTTACGATAGAGAAACGGGGAAAGTAAAAGCTGGAAAGTCAGGTGAGCGTTTCTGGAGCAAAGGGAGCGATAGTGGCTCGGTCACGTGCCGAATCGCGATAAATCTTGCACGCTTCGCACCTTCGCCGAGCGGAAGGGTGCCCCCGTGGGGATGTAAACGTTCGCTCGTCGCCTTATTACCAGCTACTACGTGGCAATTAACCGTCCTCGTAAAACGATGAAAGGAATACATCGTCAAAGTGGACACGTTATTGTTCGAGACTGATTTCAGATACGATTCCATAAGTACTGTACGAAGAAAACCTGCAATTTGTATAATTACGATTCCTAGGGTACAAAGGGTGGAACAATATTCAATCCTCCGGGTAGAAATCAGAAAAGTAACGAACACAGGGTAGGTATCAAAGGTAGCCAGGACAAACAATCGTGCCGTGGACACAACTGTGCAAACAGGATAATTAACACTTCTCAACCTCGATGTTACCGGTGCAACGTGCGAGTCATGTGTACTTTTCCGTTCCATGGGGCGAATCTTGCATCGTTGTTTGCGAACGGAGGCACGATCGATACACTGACCGGTATGTTGGTGCGAAAATTCGCGTCGCAGCTGTGACAATAATGGAAAATTAACAACCAGCACGGACCTGCGATCATTTTTAACCTACCCAATTTTCTACGTAATTTAACGACTCGTTATACAGTCCTGTTTTTCATTTCAATTATAACAAACTGAAATTTTTTTTTAATGTATTTTAAAGCATCGATCTCGCTACGGTGTACCACAATTTTCCTTCCCCTCGTTAATATTCTATCAAGCGTTTTCATCTCGTAAAATCCTACCTTCCATTAAGGCTTTTTTTGGCATCGTTTCACCGTCATAATTTCCATGCTGTTATCAAAGAAACCAGCCTGTTCAGCGTAATTCACGTAACGAGCGAATGTAAATTCGTTGGTCCCGTGTCGAGCAATAATTAAATCCCTGTTCCATTTCACTGGCGTTCCTCCACGATCGACGCTAATTACCTGCTCTTGATAAAAGTCCGGTGACTTACGATGCTCTTGTAAAAGGTTACACCGTGTAACCTGCTCGGGTCATTTAGAAAATGAACGTGAAACAACGACACGTTTCCACGAATCTAGACTTTCGTGCTGTTCGACGATCAGCCACGCTATCGTATTATTTACGGTCGATTTATCGTCGCGATCAGCCTTGATAGAGACTGACTCTCCTCGTAAATCGTTGTACATAGGTACCGGTGTTGTTTCGTGTAAACGCGTTGCATCGCGCTGCATAAAATCCGGGAAATGCAAACGGCATACCGGTCTCTGGAATGTGCCACGAATGGCTGCGACTTCACGTTCCCTGCATTTTTCCAAGGAAAATTTGAAGACTGAAGAATGTGAAACGACTCGATCAACAGCTACCAGAGAAATTCTTCGGATCTCACAGACATTTATTGCTCTGAGAGGAATAAAATTAGATAAACTAATCACGATCCATCATCTCTATGTTATTAAAATGATTCTTTGATTAGTGTTGGAAAAAATCAAGCTCAAAGGATGGCAACGGTAACATCGGGGTGTCTTTTTCAACGGCTCGACGTTTCGTTTCTTTGGCTCCCATTCAGCAGGGCAATCACGATCGAAAAAAAGAAGAAACAAGGGAACGCGTGAATACGAATCGCTGAGGCGCGTACAAGCTGAAT